AAATAATAAAAATAATAAATATTTAATATTATATAAATAAATATTCATTTAATATTAAAATTAAATTTTAATATAATATATAATAAAAATTTGATGTTTGATTTGAAAATTTATAACTGAAAAATTAATTAAAAATAGATTTGATATTGATTTTTTTTATTTGTTAAAAAGAATAAAAAATAGAACTTATTTATAATGCAAAATTATAAACTTATTTTTAATTTCGGTATACCGTGTATTCAATTCAATTAGAGATGATTTGAGATAGTATACCGAAAATATCGAAATATATTGTATGTCGTACTCAATTTTTTAATTTATTAAATAATATATCGATATTGTATCAAATAATCAGTATATACAAAAATACCAATTTTTTTTAATTATCTATATACTGAAAATATCTTATTATATATTGTTATCATACAAAAAAAGTCATATTGTATTGAAATTTTGAAATTTTTTCAATATTTTTTTTACGAATATGCATGTTATTTCCGTAATTCAGTATTTTTTATTCGCAAATTTGGTATACCAAAATATTTGTACGGTACGGTAAAATATCATACAAAAAATTTTGTAATGTACGTATGCGATGTGGTATTAAATTTGGTATGTATTGTTTATATAAATTTTTTTATTATATTTTTTTATTGTATAAATTACATTTAAGTTATTAAAATTATTAATTTTTAAATCTAAATGCATGCATTGATTTACAAAAAATACAATTATTATTATTATTTTTAAATAATATCAGTAAATAAAAAATTTTAACTTTTAATTTAATATTTTATCAAGTAAAAAATATTTAATATATAACACTTTATTAAATTTATTAATCAAACTAATTAACTACCTAACTCAATATTTTTTAAACTAATTTAATTGTGGGACGGAGGGAGTATACTTTAATTTTATTTTTAAAAATTTAATTTATAAATTTTTTAATTTTAATTATACAAATCACTTATTTTAATTTTAATCTATAATTATTTTTATTATACGATAATTATTTAATAATATATTTTAAATTATTTATTAATTATACTCTTTCTAAATTCTCGTGTCTATGGTAAAGTGAATAAAATATCCGAGACGGAGGGAGTATTTTCTTTATTCTTCTTCTTCTTCTTCATGTTCTGTGTATGTATGGTGTATCTATCTATCTAATCAAAAAATCTAATCTATCTTGTCTACTTAGTATTGTATTGTATGACACGAAATTAATTAAATTGATGGGAGCTTTCTTTTAATTCTTCCACTATAACTACTAACTACCCCATTTATTAATTTTAGCATTTCATTTCCAAGAAATATTAATGAATGCTCCTCCGCTCACGGATAAAGTATATATTTATTTTTGGCGCGGAGTTTAAAAAATAATAGTATTTTAATTATAGTGGGTAAGTAAAAGTAGTGTAATGATATTTTTGCCCTTGCTTTTTGGTATAAAAGTAATAATGTAATGTAAATTAAAGGTATTTGTGGAAAAAAGTAGGGTATTTAATGAAATGATTTCTTTGTAATTGGACGTCCCAAAATAGAAATATGTATACTTTGTAGCTGGACGGAGGGAGTATATGTTTTTTCGTAAATACTACTTTCTCCGTCCAATGTAATACGGATGTATTACTATAGATACGAAAATTTAGGTAAAATATAATTAATAAGTAATTAAGAAGTGTATTAGTAAAAATAATTATTATTTAGTAAAAATAATTATAAATTAAGATTAAAATAAATAAATAGTTTAATTAAAATTAAAAAAAAATTTATAAAATTTAAAATTTAAAATACAATTAAAATATATAATTATATTTATAAAAATAAAAATAATAAATTATGTGGTACGGAGGAATTATCAACTCATTGCTAATACTAATAATCAGGGAATACACAAGGATGTTGTCACTCATAATTCATGACCTGCAGCACTAGACTTTTCAGTTGAATCTTACAATTTTCGATAATAATAATAATAATAATAATAATATTAATATTAATTTGATTTGATGTTTCATTTAATATTTTTTTGGGTATGTTTCTTTTGCCCAAAACCCAGGTTTTTAACTATGCACTTTTCGAAAAAAATATTTAATCCGTCTCATTTATTATATCCATGTTGTCATTTTTGTCAATTTCACGTCTCATGTCATTTTTCTTTTTTGAAAAATAATTACTCATTTTAATTTTATTTTAATTTTTTAAATTAAACTAATTAATTATCTTAATCTATAATGATTTATACTCCCTCCGTCTCATAACAAAGTATCTATTTTTATTTGTTTTTTAGTAACTGTACTATCTATCTAACATTACAAATACCTTTACAACTTACCATATATTACACAAATGCCATTATCTTTATATCACACGTACTAACAAGGTTATTTTAGTTATTTCTATTTTATTTTTACTATATTCTAATATAATACTAATATTTTTAAAATTACGTGCAAAAAGCAAATAGATATTTAGTTCCGGGATGGAGGGAGTAGTATAAATGAATTATTTTCATTAATATATTTTTAATTATCTATTAATTATACTTATCTTAAACTTCCGTGTCTACAGTGACCAAGACACCCAATATGAGACGGAGGTAGTACATTTTTCTTTTATCACAAAATATCTCATCATACATTTTTTTTAATATCATACTCAAATCATTTTTTTTAAAACTCATCTAAAAAAAAATACACCCTTTGTTATGAAAAAAAAAATGTCAAGGGTGATTTTTTTAATTTTTTATGCTCAATCCAAAATTAAATCGATTATCAATAGTACTGATTATTGAGAATAATAATAATAATAATAATAATAAAATAGTCCATTTTGAGCATTGAAAGTGACGACGACCGTACGTATGTTTTCTCTTGGTTTGGATTATAGTTATAATTAATTCAGTTCTAAATTTAATTATTTGGGTTTGGGATACGGAATGGTCACAACTTTTTTGAATCGTCTATATATATATATATATAATTTGGGAAGAATTGAATAACAAGATTTTGTTTGTTTGCTTGTATTCTCGAACTTATAATAAACTAAACATTCAATTACTATTTTATTTATTCAAATCATCACGTATAAAAATGCAATTTTTTTTTTAATTTTAAATTTCGTATATCAATTTTATTTTACAAAACATCGAATAAAATACTTTTTGGCGCACAGGACGAATGTATTTATTTGAATTTTATAATAAATTTAAAAATAACAATTTTGTATAGGTTAGTGAAAATTTTAAAATAATTTTGATATTTTTACTCTTTATAATTTATACTACCTCCATAGTACAAATTAAATAAAAATTTAAAAAATATTTCATTTATGTCTTATAATACTAATAGAAGGACAACGCAAAAAGTAAATGTAACTCTTAAAGACGAACGACGTGAAAATATGTTTAATAATATATTTGTAACTTATATAGAAATTCAGTTTATTGTAGTATTAATATATTTTTATTATAATAAAATATGAATAATTCTAAATGGGACAAATAATAATAATAAGGAAAAATACTTTCGATGTAGAAAATAATTAAGGATTGTTTAATTGTAATTTGAAATTGATTTAAATTTTCATTTAAATAATATTTTGATATAAAATTTTATAAAAAAAAATATTATTTTCATTAAAAATCAAATAAAATAAATAGTATTAATTTTTATTTGAAATGACAAGAAACAAACCCCTCAGATATGTTTAGACAACAAATTTAGAAGATAATTACGGACACATTTTTATTTTATTTAGAACATCTGTGATTTTATTATAAAAACTAATTATTTTTTCATTATCTATGTTTTTATTTATCTTTCTTAAGAAAGATTACCTTCAACAACAACAAAAAACAAAAAAAAAAAATTATTTAATTTTTTAAAAAAATTTCAATATTTAAATTTAACAAAAACTATATATAAATATATATGCTAATATATTTCAAATAATTTTAATTTTTAAAATAAATTCTATGTTTCAAAATACTAAAATTTTATATAGATTAATATTTAAAAATTAAAATATAATATTATATAAAAATATTATTAAATAATAAAAACATATAGAAATATATATATATTAATAAATAAATTATTGTTGGTCATAAAGCAATAAAAATAATAATAATAATGTGTTAAATATGATTATTATAACCGGTCAAAAATATGGATAAGAGAATAGTAAAATCTCCGACCCTAATAATAGTCGCATCAATTGAGGTATTCCTCACTCAAATACATAAGGCCTACCCTTAATATATACTCCAAAATATTACTATATTATTATAATTAATATAAAAATATCATTTCCTCTCTCTCTTGACAATCTATCTATTTTTTTATTTTTCGTAACAATCTATCCATTTTCATATAAGACTATCTAACTGTACTATCTAACAACATTACATATCAAAAAATAAATCAATAATTTTATACGATAGTAAAATTTTTTCGAATTACATACATATCAATTATACTTGAATTAATATATTTACAAAATTCAAATTTAATTTATTTTTCTATTTAATACATTAAATATATATTTTATTTTCAAATAATAAATCACATCAGTAATTATAGAAATATTACAATCCCAAAACACATTCAAAATTTCTATTTAAACACATCAAACTGTAATACCATTTTTTTTTTTTGAAAATATCTTTTTTTACCATTTTAAATTTTTTCTAAAAATCTCAAAACTACAAAAACCACTCTATTTAACTTACGGGCTGGGCTGGCTATCAAAAATATACATATGGTGGTGAGGTTCATCAACTGTTTGGGCACCCAAATTCTAAATACCCTAACTAATATGATTTTCTCTAATTTCCAATTGACAATTTATAGCCCAAAATGAAAATGACCCATTTCAAGAAACACACATATCTATCTATATATGTGTGTGTTCAACTCGAAAACTAAATGCAAAAAAATTTCAGGGTTGTAATTTTAGGCATATTAATCATAACAATTTGTAAGAATGAAATATATCATGAAAAACCAATCATACGCATCAATGAATATATATTTGATACCTTAATTATCAAGAAATAGGCAGGGTGAGAAACAGAAACACAGTAGTGACAAAACCTTACCAAATGATGGAAATGAGAATCTCCAGAGTTCATCAATGGCAGATGTATGTCTTATTGGTGAGATACTCAGACTTTGAGGGAGGGTTCATCCCGAAAATGAAGAAACAAGAAGGTTCAAATCGAATCGAATCTTCCAGCAGCTCAAGCAAGGGAGGGCTTATCCTTTTGTTGCTGATATAGTTCCTCTCTCATTCTCTGTATCTCCGCCTCCTTCTCCATTTTCTCTTTCTGCATATCACGACATTGCCGATGAAGATAACCAATTCCAAGTTAGCTATAACATTACAACTCAGCCATGGCGATATAACAGTATCCTACCGAACATGGTAATCTATACTTGACATTATATAAATGAAACTTGTATCTAAAACTTGCAAGATCACAGGGAATATTAAACTCAAGAACCTATCCTCATGGTCAATTCTCTGTTGCAGAAGCTAAATGCTGATTGTTCTACATCATCTATGGACCGACAATATAATTAGATTCAGAAATAACTTTAATTTGGGGATTTATTTCCAATAGGTGTACAGAGTTGGGAGATTATTTCCAGAGTGTAAGCAAAACGTTTTTCTTTCTATCCGAATACGATTTCAATTTTTTGGGGCAAAGGCAAAACCCTCAAATTGAAGCAAAAACAGTTAGGATTCGGGAATTGATTAGATCAAAGTTGAATGAGCGATTGAAAACGGAGCAAATTAATGTGTTTTTCGATCCAAATAAAATTGCCGACTCGGAAAAGCTCCAAAACCCTATCTACTCTGCAATGAAATTCTATTGAATCGATATGCAGCAAATAGAACGCATGATCTAAATAAGAACCCTAAATCCCCAATTGAACCGCATATATGAAATCATACCATTCCGATTTGGACACTAATCAAGGAACGAACACAAAATTGAAATCAGCGAGTATAAACAAAGCTGCATAAATCGAAAATCAATGACCATGAGTGGTTTATGAATACCTTTTCGTCCTGGTGGAGGGCAATCCAGACGTGGACTTTATCCATGGTCTGCCAGAAGAGGAAAGCGCCGAATGTCATTCCAAAGAATGTGGCCACTCTCACCATCGTCGCCGTATCAACAAAATTCCGACAAATTTCTTCCGAGAATGAAACCTAAGCTCCGATTGAAATTGTCCTTGCGTCGTTATGATTTTTGACCACAAAGGCCCATGGACCCTAAATACATGTAAACGACGACGTTTGGAAACCCAATTTCAGACGACGTCGTTTCCTCATAATTCCCTCTTTTTTTTCCTAAAAAAATAAACCCTAATCTCTGTCTTCATGGAAAACCATAAACCAGCAAGCCAACATCAGCAAATTGAAATGGTGCCAAGTACAAAAAGCCAAAAAAAAATTCTACAGTTTTGTTAGGTTTTGAAGATTCCTCATCAATCCTATGGTCGAAAAGACTAAATAATGCCAAATGCAATCTTCTGTGCTGTTGAAACTGCCATCATATCTGCACAACTGATACAGCAAGATGATGCTGACTCATTGGACTTAGTCCAGAATGGCATCAAGGATAATTGCTGCACAAATAACTCTAGAAGAAACCTCATTGTATCTTCAATCATCCTTGATTAATTCAGAGATATATAAGAAGAAATCACCTTCCCTATCGATCACCTGTCACTGGAGAGCATGGGGAGCAAAGGAGGTCTTTTCAGGTACGCCGATGGCATCGACAAGCTGCTGATGCTGATCGGCACTTTAGGCAGCATTGGAGATGGCTTAATGACTCCACTCACCATGTTTATCATGAGCGCCATAATTGACGACTATGGAGCTTCTGACCAGTCCATCTCCAACCAGGTTGTGGATAAGGTAAGAACAGCATTACCCTGATCTGCTTGCTCATCTTCATTGAGAAGTTTTGATCTGTATTTGATCTTGTAGTTCGCCTTGAGATTGCTCTATATTGCTCTTGGAGTTGGAATCTCTGCATTTTTGGGTAAACATAGTGGATATAATACTAATTTTCGACGTAAAATTGAACATACCTGATTTAACGAATGCTTTAGATTGATTCGTTCATCTCTCCGGCGGTGGTTCTGCAGAAGGACTGTGCTGGTCAAGGACAGCGGAGAGACAAACGTCACGAATACGAACGGAATACTTGAGATCGGTGCTGAGACAAGAAGTAGGCTTCTTTGACAACCAAGGCGCAGCTTCGTCCACCACTTTTAAAGTAGTTGCAAGCATATCTGCAGATGCGCATTCGATCCAAGCCGTTGTCGCCGAAAAGGTATCCATTTTCGTTCCCTTCATTTCGACTCGTTCAATATCTTCGTAACTTCGTAAAGAGCACAATCTCCATTGAAGCAGATTCCGAACATCCTGGTAGAACTTTCAGCATTCGTATTCGGCCTAGCAGTCGCCTTCTTGCTGTCATGGAGACTGGCCTTGGCTTCCCTGCCATTAGCAACGTGTTTCATAGCTCCAGGCGTCGGATTCGGGAAGTTGATGATGAGCCTGGGAATGAAAAGCAAGGATGCATATGAAGTTGCTGGCGGAATAGTGGAGCAAAGCATATCCTCGATCCGAACAGTTTACTCCTACGTAGGAGAGCGCCAGACGCTGCGCAGATTCAGCCAAGCGTTGCAGGAAAGCATGAAGCTCGGGATCAAACAAGGCCTCGCCAAGGGGCTGATGATTGGATCCATGGGGGTAGTTTTCGCGGCGTGGGCATTCGAAGCTTGGGCTGGAAGTATACTTGTGGTTGAAAGAGGGGAAACTGGTGGTCGAGTGTTTATTGCAGCAATCAGTGTTGTTCTTGGAGGAATGTAAGCTCGACTTTCAAGATTTCATATAAAAACGAATACGCGAACCTTCTGAAAAAAGCTTCTTTCTTACACGATTCTTGTACCGCCAGGTCCTGTATGAGCGCGCTCCCTAATCTGTCGTCCATCATCGAAGCTTCAGCTGCAGCCGCGCGAATATTTGAGATGATCGACCGGGTGCCTGAAATAGACTCCGAAGATGTTAAGGGGAAAACTTTAGCGTATGTACATGGAGAAATCGAGTTCCGGGAAGTTTACTTCAGTTATCCATCAAGAATGGATGCTTATGTTCTCCATGGATTAAGCCTCAAAGTTAAAGCTGGTAAGACCGTGGGGCTCGTCGGAGGAAGCGGATCCGGAAAATCGACTCTCATATCTTTGCTTGAAAGGTTCTATGATCCCATCAAAGGAGACATATTTCTTGATGGGCATAGAATCAGGAGAATGAAGCTTAAATGGCTGAGATCACAGATGGGGCTGGTGAACCAGGAGCCGATCCTCTTCGCGACTTCGATTAAGGAGAACATTTTGTTCGGGAAAGATGATGCTTCCATGGAAGAGATCGTTGTCGCCGCAAAGGCTGCGAATGCAGACTCCTTCATTGCAAACTTACCTGCAGGATATGATACTCAGGTGGGGCAGTTTGGGTTTCAATTATCAGGAGGGCAGAAACAGAGGATTGCCATAGCCAGAGCCTTGATCAAGAACCCAAGAATTCTGTTGCTTGATGAAGCTACGAGCGCGCTCGATGTAGAATCCGAAAGAGCAGTGCAGGAGGCCATTGATCGGGCGTGTCTTGGCAGGACAACAGTCATCGTCGCACATCGCCTCACTACGATCCGAAGCGCAGACACCATTGTTGTGATGGAATCAGGGAGAGTCACAGAGTCAGGATCCCATGAGAAGCTGATGCAGATTGGGGAAGATGGAGCTTACTTTAAAATGGTGAAGCTACAGCAATCAGCAGCAATGGAGGATGGAGGTTCTTCTCCTTCGTATCGAAACCAAAACGATGCCGTCAAGTTATATCACACAGCAAGATCAAGCTGGCAAAGTAGTCCTGTGACTGCATTCCCTTTCAGCCCTGTCTGGAACACGAGCACGGTTGTTCCCTCGATCAACACGGTTTCTTACTACAGTAGCGACGATGAAACTGAAACACCGGATACCTACTATTCAACGAATCCTTCACATTGGCGGTTGATTCGAATGAATGCGCCGGAGTGGAGGAGAGCTTTGCTTGGATGTCTCGGAGCTGTCGTATTCGGCTTAGTCCTCCCCGCCAATGCTTACTGCCTCGGATCGGTTGTCTCGACCTATTTCAGCGACGACAGAACAAGAATAAAATCTGAAAACTTCTTCTACAGCATGATGTTCTTAACCATAGCTGTCGTAAGCTTCTTCGCCAACCTTCTGCAGCACTACAACTTCGCGATCATGGGGGAGCGACTCGTCAAGAGGGTGCGCGAAATGGTGCTGCAGAACATTCTCACGTTCGAGGTAGGCTGGTTCGACAGGGATGAGAACACGAGCGCTGCAGTCTGCGCGCGTCTCGCGACAGAGGCGAATGTGGTCCGATGCCTAGTAGGCGACCGAATGTCTTTACTCCTACAAGTCTTCACCAGCGCTTCCGGGGCATTCATACTCGCGCTGATTTTAACATGGAGACTCTCCATTGTTGTGATCGCTGTCCAGCCTTTCCTCATCGCGAGCTTATACTCGAAGAGCATCCTGATGAAGCAGATGTCGGTTAAGGCGCAGAAGGCGCAGAACAAGGGCAGCCAAGTGGCGAGCGAAGCTGTGGTGAACCACAGGACAATCGCGGCATTCTCTTCGCAGGACAAGATCCTTCGCCTCTTTGCGTCGACTTTGAAAGGACCGCGCGAAGAGAGTTTGAAGCAGTCTTGGTTATCCGGAGCTGGGCTGTTCCTCTCGCAATTTCTGACCACGGCATCTGTCGCGTTGACGTATTGGTACGGCGGGAGGCTGATGAACAAAGGATTAGTGAGCTCGAAGCATATGTTCCAGGTTTTCTTCATCCTGATGAGCACCGGGAAGAGCATTGCCGATGCCGGAACCATGTCATCCGATTTGGCGAAAGGCAGCAGCGCTGTCGGATCGGTTTTCACAATCCTCGACAGGAGGAGTGAGATCGAACCGGACAGCGCCGATGGCATAACAACAAGGAAAGGATTGAAAGGCAAGATAGAGATCAATGGAGTTCACTTCTCCTACCCTACCAGGCCAGAGCAGATGATCCTCCAAGGCCTGAACCTCAATATCGAGCCTGGAATGACAATGGCGATTGTAGGACAAAGTGGCTCAGGAAAATCAACAATCATAGCTCTAATTGAAAGATTCTACGATCCAATACGAGGAAGCGTACTCATCGACGGTCGAGACATCCGAAGCTACAACTTGAGAGATCTGAGATCTCAAATCGCGCTAGTGAGCCAGGAGCCGACGCTCTTCGCCGGAACCATCGAGGAAAACATCGCATACGGCGTCGAAACCGCCACAGAATCTGAAATCAGGAACGCCGCCATTGTTGCGAATGCCGAGGAATTCATAAGGTGTGTGAACCTAAATCTTCCAATTTAACTCTACCAGCAACATCATATCAAAAAATTTCTGAATCTAACCAATGGCGCCTGGAAATTGGACTCGCAGTTCGCTGAAAAGTGGATACAAAACTTACTGTGGAGAAAGAGGAGTGCAGCTATCGGGAGGGCAGAAGCAACGGATAGCTCTAGCTCGTGCAATTCTGAAGAATCCATGCGTGCTTCTTCTGGACGAGGCAACGAGCGCTCTGGACAGCGTGTCGGAGAGCGTTGTGCAGGAAGCACTGGAGAGGATGATGGCGGGGACGAGGAGCAGGACGTGTGTGGTGGTGGCGCACCGACTGTCGACAATAAAGAAGGCAGACTGCATCGCCGTGGTTAAAAACGGCAAGGTTGTGGAGAAAGGATCGCATTCTGAGCTCGTCACCATGGGAGGCTCTTATAACTCGTTGATCAAATCGCAGAACCGCCATGCTTTGTAGCTCCTTCAATTTGGGTCCATAGGTCTTCGAGGATTGCGCTCGTGCCTTTAGTTAAATATAAGCCAAATTTTCGAAGTATAGTAGTTACTTTTGAAAAGCAGATAATAATAGTAATTAAAATATTAATATAATAAATACTATATAAATTATTTTTTAAGATATACTTCCTCCTTCGCACAATAATATCATTTATTTTTTTAAAATATAATTATACATTCTAATTTCTAATTTATAATTTTAAGTAAATCATTTAATTATTGTAATTTATAAATACTTTTATTAAATTATAATTATTTTTAATAATATATTTTTTAATTATTAATTATACATTACCTATAATTGCATGCCTAAACTAACTTGACAAATTAGTTGGGACAAAGAGAATATAATATTAATAAAATATACTCAGTTTCAAAATAATCACAAGTATTAATTAGTTAATATTCTTTCTATCATATTTTTAAATTTTCATATGTCTCATTCAGTTTGTCACTTTATAAAAGAATTATACATTAATTTTATTTTAAATTTTTTAATTTATAGTATTTTAAATTTTAATTAGACTAATAAATTGTTTTAATATATTATAAGATAATTATTTTTACTAATACATTATTTATTATCTACTCATTTTATTTAATTAATAATAATGATAATTTAGAAAATTAGAACATATTTTAAAATTATATCTCAATAAAAAATATATACAATATGAATATCATTGTTTATATAATAAAATATTCTATAATATAAAAAAAAATATTTATTATTTATAAAAGAGATAAAAATAAAATAGTTTTAAATGAATTATAATTAATTAAATTGATTTATACTGCTATTTGTTAAATATGTTTTAATATAATATATTTTATCCAAAATAAAAATATATTAATTATTATCTGAAAAATGAATAAAATAGTGTTAATTATGATGGATTGTGAAAGTATATTTTTATTGAAAATTGTATTTAAATAAAAATATTGATATTTATTTGAAATATTAAAAGAAAAATTGGATTTATTATTGTATTTGATTTGAATTGATATGTATATATATATATTTTAATGTGAAATATAAAAATTTATATAAATAATATAGAAATAATAAATATGTATTATATATTATTTTTTATTAGAAAAATCTAGATATATCTTTTTTTTTTTTTCAAAACAAATAAACCCTACAATTTCAGAAGAAAACATCATGGGGGTGATTGAGTAATTTCAAAGTTCCAGGTCCATGTATACGGGTCGGATCTTATACTGAATCCCCTAACCCGACTAACCGTCTTTTCCATTTCTTCTTTCCCAAGCCTCTGCGAAATCTTGGTTAGCCCTTTTCTTTCCTCTCGACATTCGCTTGGGGTTTTTACCCATCATCGATTAGTTCCTCGACGATCTGTGACCTATAATGTCGACGGTAGCAGAATCAGCGCCGCCCAAGGGTGGGTTTTCCTTCGATCTCTGCAAGCGAAATGAAATGCTCGTGAAGAAGGGCCTGAAGCAGCCCTCTTACCTGAAAACCGGAACCACAATAGTGGGACTAATTTTTCAGGTAAACTTCCTTGATTTTGGTTTCTCCCTCGGATTTTGTAATTCTTCGTTGTTACTATTAATTGATTGATTAGCAATGTGCCTGGACGGTTGAGTTAAAATTTGTGCAATGTTTTTGCTAAGTTGATGGATTTGTTCGTTTGATTGTTTTCTACTGGTGAGGAGTTATAGTTGTGGAGATGTTATTAGTTAGGGCAGAGTTGCGACTTTTCTTGCGGATGCCTTCTTTAAATCTAATTGAAAATCATCATCGAAGGTTATGGTGCCTGATATGTGAGTTTATGTATCACTCAGTGGTGACTGTTTATGTTAATTTATGCATAACCTAAGCATCACGATTGTTCTAGAAGTACTATTTTTTCAAAGATGTAATAGAGATTGACATGTTCTAAAGGATTCACTGCCTGATTTATAGTGGCAGTTCCAATTATTGAGTATGGATAGTTTGGAATATGTGACTAAATTGTGCTTGAAAATGCCCATATTCTTTAGGATGGTGTTATTCTTGGAGCAGACACAAGAGCAACTGAAGGCCCAATTGTTGCTGATAAGAACTGCGAGAAAATTCATTACATGGCTCCGAATATTTATTGCTGTGGAGCTGGGACTGCTGCAGATACAGAGGCTGTTACTGGTATTCCATGTCGTCCTATGTTGTCTACGGGTGTATTTCTACTGTGAAAGATGTTTAAATCTCTTGATTTTATGCTTTGAATTGTTTGCTAGATATGGTTAGTTCTCAGCTGAAACTACATCGTTATCATACTGGCCGTGAGTCCAGGGTTGTGACAGCTCTCACACTTTTAAAGTCTCATCTGTTCAGGTGAATCATTATTTTGAATTGGTGTTTGTAGTGTTGTCGTTTAAAGGAAAATATCCATTGTTTAAGATACTTGGAATTTATATCTGAACCAGTTATCAAGGTTATGTATCAGCCGCCTTGGTGCTTGGTGGAGTTGATGTGACTGGCCCTCACCTGCATACTGTGAGTCATTTTTTCATGCCAAGAAAATGTATGATGGTATTTTATTTGTTTATTTATTTATTTTGTCTAACATGGTTATCTAATTCGCTCCCAGATTTATCCACATGGTTCAACTGATACCTTACCATTTGCCACTATGGGTTCTGGCTCCCTTGCTGCAATGTCGGTTTTTGAATCAAAATACCGTGAAGGACTGACTGTAAGTTCATCCATTATGTTTGTAGCATCAGTGCACTTGTAATGCAAATTCTTTGAGCTGAGTCTACAAGTGCTTATGCAGAGAGACGAAGGAATAAAATTGGTGGCTGAAGCAATAAGCTCGGGAATATTTAATGACTTGGGAAGTGGAAGCAATGTGGATGTCTGTGTCATAACAAAGGTTTGGATTCGTAATACATTGATGATTCCTACATATTTTGTTCTATATTGTTGATATTCCAAAAATGTGTGTGTGTGTGTGTGTGTGTTTTTTTTTATCAGGGGAAACGAGAGTACTTGAGAAACTATCAGATGCCAAACCCTCGTACTTATGTCAGTGAGAGAGGCTATACCTTCTCCAAGAAGACTGGTTAGCATCGTTTCCACTGTCGTATTTTGCTAACTAGTGCAAACTGGCAATTTGTTTACATTTTATTGTTTCTATAATTATTTTCGACCTCCCATTTGTTTGCTTGCAGAGGTTTTGATGACTAAGATCACACCATTGAGAGAGCTAGTGGAAGTCGTCGAAGGTGGAGATGCAATGGAAGAATGAGGTCCATTTGATAGAAATCCATTATGTTCACATGAATTTTTCGATTTCCCCTTATTATATGCATCAGATCTACACTTTGTGCTTTAGTGCTTCTGAAAGATTGAAATGCTCTGGCTTGAGTCTATTTTATTTTTCTTTGCCAAGACTATCTGAAACCTGTTTGTGTTTAGTCTTGTTATTCGATGCACAATAGCTTTGCCTTCCTCCCTTATGAAGTGTCATTTTCATTTTCATTGTTTTTAATCTTTATTGCCTGGTTATCATATTTGGTAAAAACCTCAGGACGTCTAGAAGGTTAAAATTGAGTATGATAGAAACGAGAAAGTAGAAATACAATCATATTTGATCCTGTAGAGATCCTCTTATCATATTATTGATTACATAGTGTATATTTAATATTTATAACCTAGATCCACCCCATGGCGCTCTTTGTGAGTAATTTCACAACCGAGACGACCTGAGTTAGTGAGTTGCTGCGACTCCTATGTCGTGTGCTGTCAATAACTTTGAACCACTGTCTTCCGGGGTCACATGTACGCTCTCTATTGTCCAAACACTTGCACTTACTCGTGACAATCTTGTTGCCTGCATCTGCTTCCAAGCAGACATCGGTACCATCCTTAAGATTCGAAGATAAATGCATCTTCGAGTCTGAAATAGCCTCCCATTTCGAACTTGCATCTCTGCAAGTCAGCCCTAGTTTCGCAGGCTTCCCTAACCCGGATGCCTGCAGACAGAAATACGTTTCCTGTATTGTTAAAGTTTTGTGGTTTCCATAACTCCATGCTTCGGCCTCCGAGCATGGACCTAAAACCAGAGGCTCTAATAGCGACACCCTCGTCACACAAAGTCCCGTTGCAGGGTGAAACAGTACTTTGTGTGGCCGCGCTTCCTCGTACCCGGGCCCTGAAATATTGACTATGTTGTTAAGTTTCTTGGAATTTAACAGCTAAGTAGTGTCTGTCTAGATGTTGTTCTAACCTCGGAAAGGATATTGAAGAGCAGATATCTTATCAAGAATGCTCTGGTTCTTAACCCCACACCAATTCCAGTCGTAGACGCCGTAAGCTTCGTCGTGTCCGATGATCCCTTCCCGGAAATAATAGCTCCCCGTAAGAGCCCACAACGCCCACTCCACGTCGTTCTCGGCTGCCCACCCCATGAAGCAATTTAAATACCGGTTGTCGTTGACATTTATGCCCCTCATATCGACCCCAAACTCGCTCACGAATAACGGGTAGTCTCGATCGAGCAGGAACCCGGCCTGCCTCGTCGTGTCGCTCGTCACTTTCCCGCACACCTGGTTAGGGTTCCCGTTCGCCCACGCCTGCCCGTCCGAGAAGCCGTACCAGTGAAGCTCGAAGACTAACTTCTTCGAGAATGTTAAAGATACCGGCTTTTTGGCGAGGAACGACAGATCCCTGTCGTAGCTCAGCCCTGACAGAATGACGAGGACTGCCGGGTTCGCCGCGTGCACGGCTTCGGCTCCTTTCTGCATGTACCTACGGTATGGTATTGTCGTGTAGTTTCTTGAAAGTAAATTTGAGGGGAATGTCGAGAGTAAGTAGAATTATTTGTTTTTTACCTGTACCAATCGTTGGTGTTTTGTTTAGGGCCTCGGAGCTCATTCCTGAGGCTCATGGCGACCACATTGTTGTAACTTTTGAAGATTGTGGCAACCCTGGTTAAGCCCTTTAACCATAGTTCGGGGTTGAAGTACTGATCGCCGAAGAATCCGTTACCGTCGAAATTACTGCAGCACCAACCTGGCTTGCTTATGTGGTTGTCTAGAATTACCATCAGTTTCTGCCTTCCAATGCTTCCCACCACTTCCTATTCAAATATTCAACTAAACCATGGTTATTTATTAACTAATCTACCATCAGTTGAACCCAATTCTCACAAAAAAAAAAAAAAAAATGCACATTATTGATATAAATAATTTAATCAATTTACATAAAAAAAGAGTATCACAATTAAATATAAACTGGTATAATCCATAAGAAAAAAAATAAAGGGGGTTTATTTAAAAGTATAAAATATAATTCAATTATAAAAGTTTACAATAAACCAAAAGTTTGATTTTATGGCCATGCAAATAAGCATATTTGGCCAATTAAATTAAATATTTGTAATAATATTAATATTGTGTGTCTATAAATTGTTAACAGAGGGAGGAATTGAAGTATATATTAATTATTAACAATACCTTGTAAGCATCGAGGAGAGAAAGATCGATGATGGAGGGGTTGTTTTGGACAACTCCGGCAATGGATTCCGACAGTCCCAAGTTCTTGAACGACTGCCGGACTGTCAGGGAAGCGAAGGTGTCGTTGGTGAAGAGGAACAGTGGCCATGTTAGCCTCACGCAGTTGAACCCTAAATCTCTGATCTCGCCGGAAATCTCCTCCGCCGGACGCTTGCTCAGCCCCTCCGCCACCGCCACTTCCAGGTGCGACGGCCAGTTCACGCACCTGAGCTTCACGCGCCGCCCCAGCTCGTCCACGATCCAACGGGACTCTGTGGAGAGCGACCCGCCGGAAACCTCGCCGCCGGCTAACAAAGGCGTGGGGAAATGAGAAAGAATGTAGACGAGGAAAATTATTAACCACTTCCCCATGTTTATGGTGATCTTCTTGCATCACCTAATTTCCTCTCTTGCATATATATATATATATATACACATATTTTGTACGTATCCGTTTGGTATTGGATTGTAAAATAAATGATTGATTAGTTAAAAAAATGTTAAGCATAGTGCATGCATTTATATATGTACTGTAAAAATTATATATATATATATACATATTGAGGGTTTTGGTTTGAATTTAGGTTTGTGATATATAATAAATTGTCGGTCCGTCGTACATATCTTGCAATATTTTCAAATAATTAATACACTTTCCATCCCGGCTATCATGTTCCTTTTTATCGTAAACACGAAAATTTACGAGGGATATAATTAGTAAATAATTAAGGATGTATCAGTCAGTGAAAATAATTATACGTATAATAATTTTATATTAAAATTAAGATAACTAATTAATCTAATTAAAATTATAAATAAAAATAATTAAAATGAAATTAAAGTATATAATTTTATTTTTTTCCAAAAAAAAAAAATCACAAAATAAATAAACAGACAAAAATAAGAAGATGGACATAGCAAGTAAGTGAGACTGAGAGAATATATTTTATTTCATCACTCAATTTTCACTTTATTCTATTTATCTAAATTATCGTATTTGATATTTTGCTTCTTATATGAAACAGACAGAATATAATTTTAGTAAAATAATAATAAAAAAATCATATTGTATAGTAAAAGAAATGAAAAATAAAACTCAAATTGAAATTGATTATATGACCTTATTATTACTCTTATAGACTAATCAAAAAAAGTATGCATTTGATCATTTTTATCAGTCTACACACAATATTCATTTATCATTTTAATAAATGTGAATTTAACTGTGCATTAGAAATATAAGGGTAAAATGTTAGCAAATATATAACCTACTGCAATTTCAATATAATACTCTCTCCATCCCAAAAAAATTGTCTTGTTTTTCCATTTTTGTCGGTCTCAAAAAAATTGTTCTGTTTCTTATTTAGTAACTGTAGTCTCCACTTTATAACAAAATTATTTATACTTTTTCAAACTACCTCTAATTATTACTCTAACCTACTTTTTTAAAATCCTTTAAAAAGTAAGGACATTTTAGTATTTTATATTCTATTTTATATCTACTTTCAATTAAATACTATTATTTCTTAATTCTCGTGCCAACTTCCAATAAGACACTTCTTCCGGGACGGAGGGAGTATTCATTTTATACTCTTTAAATTTACAACCAAGAATTAAATCATTTTTATATAATATATTCGTCCCAATTTAAAATATATATCTATCATGTCTCACATAATTTGTTCATATTTTCTATTTTCGTCCGTTCTACACCATTTATCTTCATTTTCTATTTTCGTCCGTTTCACACAATTTGCCCTTTCTAAAAATATAATTATACATTTTAATCACATTTTAAATTTTATAATTTTTTAAATTTTAATTAAATATTTAGTTATTTTAATCTTAATCTATAATTATTTTTACTATACAATAATTATTTTTTCAAATACACTTCTTAATTACTTACTAATTATATTTTACATAAATTTTCGTATCTATAGTAATACACCCAAGTTATATGAGAATGAGAGAATAGTATTTATTTTTTATTTTATGTATTAGATTAAAAATAATACTAATATTTTATTAGTTAGTAAAAATATAAAATTATATTGATATATATATTTATCCTCTTGCAAATACAAAGTAAAGAATTTTTATTTTTTTTAATATTTATATATATACACTACCTTTGTTATAATACCAAATTAGTACTATACATACAAAATGGTAAAATGAGTATATTCAATTGAGAAACAATTTAATTTATGTAATGAATTACTCAATTGTCTGGTAATAAAGTATCAATTTTTCAGTCTGTCCTATAACAAAATATTTATTTTTTAGTAACTGTATTATCTACGTAACATTACAAATAACCTTACAACTTACAATATATTATACAAATATCATTATATTTATATCACACATACTAATAAGATTATTTTAGTCATTTCTACTTTATTCCTACTATATCCTAATATAATACTAATAATACTTAAAAGTACGTACAAAAATATATAGATATCTAATTATGAGACAGAGGGAATGTTAACAATCTTCTTCTTTCTTCTGTCTTCTGGTGCTGCTTCTTCTTCTTCTTCTTCTTGGGTAGGGTAAGATAATTAACAGAAAGAAGACTACGCATGCAGACATGGCCATTAATGGTACGGCGTTGGGAGCACGCAAAGAAATACCCAATTATGAGCAGAATAGCCAATCAGAACAGCAAAAAGCAATAAAGCATGGCATCACTTTGGCTGTAAGAAAAGGTATGTGTGTATATATATATATATATTAATTTGTCCACCTTGGAAGCCTTTCAAGGCAATCTCCATCTCCACCTCCACCTCCATTTCCATGGCGACACACATACAGACAAACAGACAGATAGACACGTATGTATGCATGAGTTTTACACAAAGCAATCACCTTTTTGATTCAATTCCTGCAATGATTGCTGATCTAGAAGCGAAAACAGCAGAAGAAACACATATTTTTACGATGATGACGAAGCTTAATTTATAGTTTAAGACAGATTAGGGTTTTGGAATCCTCAAGACGATGAAATTGGGAATTAGTTGGAAGATTAGGGATGTTAATTCATGTTTTTGTTAAAAAGCATGGATAAAAGACTTTTTTGCCCTTGTGAGTGTATTAGTGTAAAAAATAGCAGCAATTGTGTAATAAAAATGAAAAAGCATGGGTAATTTTACGGTGATATAGTTATTTATGAAAACAAAATTATTATTTTGGGACGGACAAAAATGATATATTAATTAAAAAAAAAAATTACAAAGAAGAGAATGGAGATCAAAGATAAATTCACAATAAACAAATAAGAATGAATAACATTAGTTTTAGTTTATATTCTTTTATTAGAAAATTTTAAATAACAATACGATACTTACTCCGTCTTAGCTATGATGTTCATTTGATTATAGACACAAGAATTTAAGAAGTTATAATTTGTAAATAATTAAAAATATATTAAAAAAATAATTATTGTACAACAATTATATATTAAGATAATTAATTAGTTTAATTAAAATTAAAAAATATATATATATATATATATAAAAATTAGAATGAGATTGAAGTTTATAATTCTTAAAAAAAAATAATACTCAAACTATCAATTTTTTCATTTTGGTCTTTTACGATAAAAAAAAAAAATTTCATTTCTTTTAAAGTAATTGTATTATCTATATAATATTACAAATATATATACAACTTACAATATACAAACGGCATTACGTTTATATAATACAATACTAATACTAATAAGGTTATTTTAGTCATTTCTACTATATTTCTATTACATATCAATGCAATATTAATATGCTTAAATTCCGTGTAAAAGACAAATTGATATTTACCTATGGACGAAAGAGTAAAATAAGTGGGACAAACACACAAAAAAATTTAAAAAAAAATTATCAGTATAATTTAATTTAAAATTAAATAAGTGATATTAATTGTTATATAAAATCAGATCAAAATCATATCGTTCCTGAGTTTTGAGTGATTTGATTTTTATACTAAGTTATCAAATAACTTTTAATCATTAGATATAACGTGTTCTTATTTTGGGCCCTATTCAATTTTTACATCTTTACGGAAGATTGGGCTAATGGCCCCTTCTCAGAATGTAAGTTGGGTCAAATTAATGGGCCAGAATATACTTAAGACCCAATTAGTAAATAATAAATTGGCCTGGCCCAATATGTATTAATATAAGTATATAAATTATTTTATGAGTTTTTAGGTGTCTTTGTTTAGTATTTTCGTTTGAAAAAAAAAAAAAAAAAAAATCCTAAAAATAATAAATTATTAAATTTTTTTTGAAAAAAATAAGTTAAGTCTCTAAAAAGAAACCCCTTAAATTCCATTCCTAAATTTTACTCATGTTATTTGTGCGCGTAATTGAGGTGTGTTTTTTATGTCTCCGTAGAAAGAAATTAATATTTTAAAAGGATAGTTGCAATTTACAAACGTGAGGTAAAAACAAGAAAGACTTTGGGGGTTGATTTGAAGTTTTTGGTGAGATACTATCTGATGATTTCGTTCGATTGGGTTGGTTTTTCCCTTGTGTTTTCTTCTATGCGCTTCGGCTGTGGACTCCATTGATTTGCCCGGTACGATCTGCTTAGCTTGTGAATAGCTTCTTCGATTGCGTGTTGTTTTTATCCCTAGGTCAATCGGGGTCGTATAAGTCGGGTTTTCCCTCTAATTAGCGAATCGAATCAAAAACCCCCAAATTAGTTTCGTCGTTGAATGATTCCCGATTGAGGGTTTTGAGTTTTTAATGTGAGATCTTCTGTGGGGTTGATTTTGGTTATTTGTGGGAAGCCGTGTTTTGTGTATTAATAAGAGATGGAGGGCGCCGGTGATGAGGATAACGACGTCGTATTGAGCGATGTTGAGGCCGATGATCCGGTGCCGATTGACATCAAAACCACGCCGGAGAACATTTCCGTCGAAAGGTTTAGAGAAATTCTGGCGGAGCTCGATCGTGAGAGAGCAGCTCGTGAGGCAGTAGAAAATTCGAAGAATGATCTCCAGGTATCCTTCAATCGGCTCAAAGTGCTATGCCACGAGGCAATCAAGAAAAGAGATGAGAGTTCCCGGCAGCGGGATGAGGCTTTGCGGGAGAAGGAGGAAGTTTCGAAGAAATTGGAGAAGGTCGATGGCGAATTGAGAGAGGAAATTCGATCGAAGGATGAGGCGTTGAGGCAAAGAGATGAGGTTTTGGGGCAGCTTGAGGAGTTGAGGAAAGTGAAGGAGTCGACGAGGGTGGAAATGGAGACGGGATCTTCGATGCTAATGAATGGAATGGAGAAGATATCCAGGAAAGTGAGTAATTACAAGGATTTTGGAGGGAATGGCCTGCCGAAGTCTAGCAAGTATTCGGGATTGCCTGCTGTGGCTTATGGTGTAATCAAGAGGGCAAATGAGATTGTGGAGGAGCTTCTGCGGCAAGTTGAGCTGAATTTGAAGTCGCGGAATGAGGCCCGTGAGGCAGTCGAACAGAGGAACTACGAGATCGCCATTGAGGTTTCTCAGCTTGAAGCGACGATCAGTGGGTTGAGAGAGGAAGTTGCGAAGAAGAGTGAGGAAATTGGGAGCTTGAAACGAAGCAACGATGAGAAGGATGAAAGAATCGTTGAATTGGAAAGGGATTATTCTGAAACGCGAGAAGGAATGGAGAGTGAGGTTTTGAGATTGAGGCAGCTGGTGAGCGATCACGGGTCAAAGATAGAGACGCAGAGACCTTTGCTAATCGAGCAATTGGATTTTGTTTCCAAGATGCACGAAGAAATGCGTAAAGTTATGAAGATAGTGGATGCGAACAAATCTGCAGAATTGTCGGAATCCCTGTTCCTTGCACAAGGAACAAATATGGAGGAAAACATGAAGGCTTCTTTAGCTGGAATGGAGTCGGTGTATGAGTTGAGTAAACTTGTAGTCGAGAAAACAAGGGATTTGATGGAGGAAAAGAGCTGTGAGTTGAAAAGTCTAAATGAAACTGTTTCCCAATTGACGAAGGAAAAAGAACAGATTGGATCTTTATTAAGAAGCACTTTGTCTCAGAGGATGTCCGTGGACTTATCATCGAGAACCAATGAATTATTTAAAGTTGCAGAAAATGGTCTGAAAGAGGCTGGGATAGATTACAAGTTCAGCAAATTTCATGATTCTCAAAGTGGAGTGGGATCCGATGCGAGAGAGGAAAATGAAGTATATGCTCTGGTGTGTATAAAATTTCGGAATTCTTTGCTAGGTTCTTTTATTTTTCGACTGTTAATCACCATTCTCAATTTCAGGCTAGTGCATTGGAGAACATAATTAAGCAGGCTCAGGTCGAGATCATTGAGTTGAAACATTCAGTAGATGAACTCAGGTACCTTGTTCAAATTCATTGCGATACTCTTTCGAAGAACATGCTTCACCTGGTATTATATTATTATTACCTACTTGCTTCAAATTTATTGCATTGCATGGTGCATAAACTGGATCACCATGGAACTAGATTTATGATAAATTGACCACTTAAAGAAATTAGAAGTATATTGACCACTTAACAAATTCCAATGCTTTAGTTCCGTCTTAGTTGATCCTGATTCGACATTAGAAGTATATTGAAGGTTTTACAAAAGAAAACCTTAAGCATATGTTATGCATTTGGGTCGATGGTTTTGGAGCTCAGAACTGCAAATCTATTCTGACTTGTTTTATTAATTTCTTGCCTCGTTATAATGAATGTTGTTTCTTGATTCTTCCAAATACGGTGCTTTACCGCATGATTCCCCTAAATTCTCCTCTTGAAATGACAACCTTGATGGCTTCCTGGTAAAAACTCAAAAGTACATGTTTAATTAAGGATAAATGCCACCCGGACTTAAAAAGTACTGTTCGTATTTGTTATTCTGAAAATTAGATGAAGAATGTGAATGTGGTTCGCCGCCAAATTATAGAGTCTTGTTGAGTTTATTTCACAGAAGTTTTGCATTTGAGTGTTACAGCAACAATGCGATTTTCTCTAAATAGCTTGAAAACTTATAGATATACAGCAGTGTCGAATCCTTTCTCTTGGCATTGATGTTGTATAAATTATGCCTTGATAAATTAAGGACAGAGTCAAATTTATATAAGGAGCGCGCCGATGTTCAAGCCAAAGAACTTAATCAGTTGAGGCAACGTGTGGAAGAGCTCCAAGAGAAGGAAAGAGTAGCTAATGAAAATGTAGGTTTACAGATGCCATGTTCATCAATGACATCAACACTTCTCGAATTACAATCTTGACATGATTATTTTCTTGTCTTGCTATCAAGGTTGAAGGTCTTATGATGGACATTGCTGCTGCTGAAGAAGAAATCATGCGGTGGAAGGTAGCAGCACAGGAAGAGGCTGACGCAGGAAAAGCAATCGAACAAGAATATGTCGTGCAGGTAAGCATAGAGCTAACTGATTTACGCCAATTTCATATGTTTCAATATATTGCGCCTTATAAGCCACCGAATATTAGCAATGAGACGTTGGATATATATATATATAAACAAAATTGTCTATAACTCCCTTGTGGTTTTGAAACTTAGCGTAGATCCCCTTTTACTTTAAAAATTGCATGACGCTTGCATGAAACCTCACTATGCTTTCGTAATTCAGTGTAAATTCCCACTTACAAAAATTGCATAACACCCCCTAATACTTTAAAAAATATTGCATGAATCCCCCGTCATGCAAAGCATATACTCCCTCCGTCCCATATCTATCTATCTGTTTGTTTTTTGCATAGAATTTTAGGAATATTAGTATTATATTGAGATATAGTAGAAATAAAAGTAAAAAAATTAAATTAATCTTATTAGTATTGTATGGTATAAAGGTAATGACATTTGTGTAATATATTGTAAATTGGAAGAGTATTTGTAATGTTAGATAGACATAACGGTTACCAAAAAAGGAAATTGATACTTTTTAATAGAACGGATCAAAATAAAAAAATTGATATATTGTTAAGGGACGGAAGGAGTAGATAAGAAATTATTGTCTCATCACACAATGGAGGTTTCATGGTGGTGTAATTTCATGCAACGTTTTTTAAATTATAAGCCGTGCCATGCAATTTTTAAAGTACGGGGAGATTTTATGCTGAATTTCGAAACTATAGGGAAGTTATGAGCAATTTTACCATATATATATATATATGTACATAAAGATCGTGTTGAAATTTAGGTTCATTTACGGTGCTAAATTTGAATTAAGCACGCCGAAGGCTCCTTGTGCGCATCATTGTTCGAATTTCTTGTTAGGAATAAACAATCTATATCTGCAATGTCGATTAAATTTCCAAATCTCCGGTTATTCTGCAGTTGGAAGCAGTGCGCCAAGAACTTGAGGAAGCCAAGCAAGCCGTAGTCGAATCAGAGAAAAAGCTGAAATTCAAAGAGCAAACGGCAGAAGCTGCCATGGCGGCGAGAGATGCAGCTGAGAAGTCGCTGAGATTGGCCGACACGAGAGCAACCCGGCTGCGCGATCGCGTGGAAGAACTCTCCCGTCAGCTCGATGAGCTCGACACCAGAGACCCGGCAAGAACCCGACTGACTAGGCCCCGATACGTCTGTTGGCCGTGGCAGTGGCTCGGCCTCGATTTTGTTGGCTCCCATCGCTCCGGCGCCGAACCGCCGCTGCAGAGCTCCAACGAGATGGAACTTTCTGAGCCCCTCATTTGATTTCCAAAGTTTGCAATTCCTCGTTTTTTTCGGTTCCTTATTGTATTCGATTGGTGATTTTGAGGAATGGTTTATAGAAAAAAAAAATTACTGTGTTGAAAACTTGAAAATGTTATGTTCTTGAGAATTAATTAATGAAAAAATGGGAGTATTTTATATAATATAAAGGTAAAATTGCATTAAATTTTGGGTACAATTTTTTTATACTTTCAAAATTATTTCAGCTAATGAATTTTAGAATATTAATTTTTAAACTTCTAAAATTATAAATATATTCAAAATTTATCTGGAGTTTGAGTAATTTACTGTGATTAGAAAAGTAGAAATTTTTTATTCTACAAGAGAATTGTGAATTTTCGTTAAACTTACTGTGATTAGAAAAGTAAAAAATTTTGATTCTACAAGAGAATTGTGAATTTTTGTTTAAACTTGATTTGAATCGAAATATTGATGCAAATTTAAGTATCAGTTTATGAAACATTGAGTTTTTAATGCAAATTTTAAAAGTATAAATTACTTTAAAAATATATATAAAAAAGAAATTAGGAGTGACTAATCGAAATTGAATTGGTAACGAACACGCCCTAAATTAGGGGAAAATTTTTGAACAGCAGAGAACTGCCGCAGCCGGCGGCGAGTGAATTTTTTTTATCACCGTTTTGTTATGCATCGTTTTCCGATCAAAACTCCGGTGGGAGGTCCGGCGACGGCGATCTGGCAGCGGGCGTACAGCCAGTAGGTGTACCGGAAGAAGCTGCCGAAGCGAGATCTGGTCTTGAAGAGTCCCCTGACCTCGAAATTGACCCTGCCAGCGGCGATTTGACGCTGGAGCTCCATGCTTAGGCCCATGGATAGAGTGACCTGGCTGGCGACCATGTGCACGTCGGCGAATCTGGATTCGCGGCGGTGGACGGAGAAGGGGTCGATGTAGCCGGTGGCGATGATGCGCCTGTCGTAGAAGATGTCGAGGACGACGTAGGTGAAGTCGATGTTGACTTTGGTGTTAGGGTTTGTGAAATTGACGAGGAGCGTGACGTCGGCGTTGAGGAGGTAGCCTTGGTCGAGGTAGGCGGCGTTGAGGGTAGCGGTGGAGATGTCGAATCTAGGGTTCCGGGGGCGGAAGAAGAGGTAGACGATGAGGATGATTAGGCCGCCGATTATGACGATTAGCCAGAAGAGGGCGCAGAAGGCGGCGACGAGCCAGGCGATCGGCGTCGTCCGGCCGGCGTCCGGCATCCGGAGGTTATTTTGGTGGTGGTGCCGGCGGCGGTGGTGGTGGTGGGCGGCGGCGGCGGCGGCGGTGGTGGATCTTCCTGGAGAGTATGGCATTTGTAGTGGCTGCGGAGCTGCGGATTCCGGCGGGATGTGATGGCCGGATTCCGGCGAGAAATGTGGCTTGGTTACCGGCGTGAAATGTGGCTTGGATTGATGGGGCGGTGGATCGGCCTGCAATGGCGGCTGCGGGCGGGGGGCGTAGGGCGGGTGTACTGTGGTGTTGGGCGGCGGGCGTGGGCGGTGCGGCGGAGGCGGGTGTAAGGAGAAGTCGATTACGGGGTCGTCGTTGTTGCGGCGGGGGAGGAAGTGGGGATTGGACTCGCGGTGGTCGGAAAAGTGGTGGCGGCGTTGGCGTTCCATCGGAGAAGAAGACAGACAGAGAGGAATCAAACAGAGTGAGGTTGTTTCGTTGTTGTGATTATATTTGATTGTTTGTTAATACAGAAATGATAATTGCCATTGCCATTGACACAGAAGAGAATGGATTGATAAAAATTGATTGGAGAGGAAAAGAATCATGGAATGGAATTGTTGGGCAAAGAAGGCAAGCAAGCCCGTCGATGCTCCATTAAAAGTACGTATCTTTCTTTCACTTTCTCTCACTGTAAGAACGTAAAAGTGTATTCTGTGTCCGAAAGCAAAGGTGTGTTCGTTTATAGATTTTCTAAATAATTTCAGACAAAATTTGTAGTCGAGTTTTAACCATAATCACAAGTACCTTAATTCTCTGATCTCTTGAACCTGTTCATCCCATTTTACCCCTAACAGCAACTCATCTACTGATTCTTCTACGGGACTACATACTAGTGTTTTTGTTTGAAGGAATTTGAAAGATTTGTGATAAAAACACAAATTTTTCTTTCAAAAAATATCAAATCAAACACTTATTTTTTATCATTTATATTGTTTTAAAAATCAATTTTATATTTAAAATATCATATTAATATTTATTTATATCACATCATATAATTATTTAAATTCAAATTTCAACTTAAAATAAAAAACTCCAAAACAAACACACCCTAAATGATAACTTTCAAATTCTAAAGGGACAATGCCGAGCCAAATCCTATTTTCAGCCTTTTTCTAGACTTCCATACCTTGAGACTTTATGTTCATAAATTATAATGATATCATAACCTAGAGATTTGTGAGCCATCCGAGCTACCAAATTGCTCTATCCATGCCCTGAAGAGAAAGAAATCCAGAGAAATATTGTTATGTTTTAGAGCACACATAGTCAGGGTTTCTATTCATGTTTTTGGGTCGTGTTCGTGTCGGGTTAAGTCATGGAGATAACAAAAAATTGTCAACTCGAACCCGAAATCTAACCTGAAACCCTAAATCCGAACACGACACGAATTCTTTTAGGTCGGATTCAGGTTGACCTGAGTTAGTTTCAGATCAGATACAAATCCGATACAAAACAGACTTAAAATAAAATAAATATTATAAATTAAAATAATAAAAAAAAAAATTTCAGGTCAACCCTAAATATAAAATCCAAAACGTAACCTGATTTTTATATTTTAGGTTATCAGGTCAATTCGAAATACGATACGAATTTTTTTCGTTTCGAGTTCGGATCAATCCGATTTTTTATAAACTCCAAATACCCAAACCTGAACCTGAAAATTTCAGGTCAAAATGCCTCGGTCTCTCCCCTCTCTTGTGATTTTGGAATGACAAAAAAAGAGACACAATAGCTCACGAATTTATTAGATGGAATAGAGGCTCCTTATGTCTGGCTTTAAGTATCGTATTGTTGATCTTTAAATATTAATTATTATATTAAAATATAATATAAATTAAAAAAAATGACAAATATTTTATCAGTGTCTTGTAATATTAATAAAAAAAATATTTGTATAAAAAATTATACAAATATAAAAATATTTTTAATATTAAATACTCCCCTTAAAAGACGGACCGATGAAGTGTATATTTTCTTTTAAATTATGACTTCAACATGGCCGTGTTTAAAAAAATAAAATAATGTACATTTGAAAACACGGGCATGTTAGAGTGAGAAAGACAAGTCCATCCCTAAGCCCGTCACCTTTTGAACCCTGGAAGGGATACCCATTGCACGCCGATCTTGAGGCCACTGCTCTTAGTAATTGAAGTATGTAATACACCCTTCAGTCTGTTTAGTTGAATACAAAGATTAAAAATATTAATTTTTTAATATAAAAATGAGGTAAATAAAAAGTAACATGAATGTATTATAAAAATTAATAAGTAATAATAATAATGATAAATTAATTACTATTGATTAAAGTTAAAATAATAATATTATGAATAAATAAAATTCTTGATTATAAATAAATTATGTATAAATGCAATTGAAAATAATTAGGTTGTATTTAGTATAGAAAAATAAAATTAGAGAAATTGAAATGGTTTCATTGAATCACATAAATGAAACTTGAAAATTAAATTATTTCTATTTTTTTTGTTTTTATTTATCTATCATATGCAGATAAATAATATTGCAGTATATATATATATATTATTTTTTCATATCTTTTCTATACTATTTATTTTTTTATAATTTTTTAAAAAATTATATTATTTTAATTTTATAAAAATCAAATTTAGTTTATTATTAAAGTATTTAATTTTTACGATCTTTTAAGAAATTGTACTAAAATATAATATTAAAAAACATCATATATAATTTATAATTTTTTTAAAAAAAAATCACTAAAAATATTTTTTATGAATTCTCGTTCGTTAAATTATTTTTGTATCCAGTTAATCGTTTCAATTTGTGCAGAGAAATGGGGCCAAAAATAGAAATGGTTTTATTTCTCTTATTTGTTTGAGTAAGAGAAATATAAATGGAACTTAATAAATTATTTTCAATTCTCTATGTTCATTTATCTCACATATGCAAAGAAATTGAGAGAAATGATATTACTGTATATATTATTCTAATTTTTTTTGTACTATTTAATTTTTATAATTTTTTAAAAATTATATTATTCCAATTTTACAAAAATCAAACTTAATTTATTGTTAATATATTTAATTTTTACAATCTTTTAAGAAATTGTATTAAAATATAATTTTAAAAAACATATTATATAATTTATAATTTTTTTTAAAAAAAAGAGTCACCGAAAAATATTTTTCATGAATTCTTTTTTTTTTATCTTGTTAATCATTTATTCTTATTTGATTCATTCATATAACTGCATTTTTTTTATATTTTTCAACTGAATTATCTGTATTACCAAACAACAGAATTAATTTTCATTCTCTATTATCATTTCTTTTCAATTCCATTCTTTGTACCAAACTCTCTCTACAATAATAATGACATAAATTTGTTGAACCAAGAGTTATATATTTTCTCTCCGTCTCAAACACCCTGCAACATTTCATTTTTTGGTATGTTCCAAATAGTCTACAATATTTTTAAAATAGAAAATAATTAATCATACTTAATTTCTACTTCATACTTTATCTCCTCACATCATCCAAATACAAAAATAAAATATACATTTTTCTCTCTATCATATCACCGAATTTCTAAATTATCCTACTTAATACTATCCACCTAAAAACTCGTGCCAAAAGCAAATATTACACCTTGTTTGGGACAAAAGCAAATATTACACCTTGTTTGGGACAGATGGAATATTTTTTAAGTATACTAGGCAGTGTTTGCTTGGGCTTAGAGTCCAAAATAGATTATACGGCCATTAAAGTGCCCTTTCATGTTTCTGTACAGCTGGCATTGGCCCAATAAATCATAGATCCAATATCAAGAGTTTGTTTAATTTGAGAGTTTAATTGAATAAGATACAATATTAGTTTAATTATCATATAATATATACTTAATTGAACATATATTTATAAAATATATTGAATTGGTTAAAAATATATTTAATAAATATATTCATTTTAAATACTTTTATTTTATAAAAAAATAAATTCATATTATCATATATAATAAAAAAATTATACATTTATGTATATATATAAATTATTTTTATTGAAAAAAAAATGAATGTATATATAAATGTATTTAGTATGTTTCGATACACAATTAAAATTTTTTAGCACTATTTATTAATATTAATTAGAGCCGTCAAAATGGATTGAGCCTGTCGGGTTGGCCCGCCCCGCCTTTTGTTTAAAGAAGGTTAGCTTATGATTTTTTAAGCCCGTTAAAATGCGGACCTAAATGGGCCAATCCGCATGGGCCGCGGGTTGAGAATGGGTTAGCCCGCAGTAGGGCGGGTTAACCCACGGCTCAAGTACATATAATTATTAGTACTCACTTGTTTAATTAAATGTATTTTTTTATCATTTTTTATTGTCATGTTAAAAAATTATAATAAAACTAATCAAATATTAATATAAGAATATATTTAAATTTTATATAAATTACAAACATAGCAAGTTAAGACGAATAAAATAAAATTTATATTATCATTAGCTTAAATAAATTATCAATATTGTCTACATGTTGTTTTTCTTCTCTAACTATATTATTCATGACATTGTTACTTGTTTCGATTTTACATCATTTGTTTTGTTCGTCTTCCATTTTATTATTTTATAATTTTACAAATTCATAAAATTAATTATGATTTATTTTTAAAATGAAGTATTTCTTATTATTAATTTTTATAAATACACCAATTAATAATATTTAGAATTGAGAATTTTTATATTTGTTATTTATTTTTTATTTAAATTCTACAATAAAAATATTTTTAGGTATTTATAAATATTAATTACGAAAATATTTATAATATTAATATTCTTTTAATATTTTTAAAAAATCTGTGGGTTAGCCCGTTTAGCTCGTCATCCGCCGGTGAGTTGGGTTGGGCTGGGCCGATGAAATTTTGATCCGTTCCGCAGCGGGTTGACCCGCAAACAACCCGCTTATTTGCGGATTATGATGGATTGTTGATCGATCCGCCCCACTAACCCGTTTTAACAAGTCTAATATTAATTATTTTTAAAGTTAAATATAAAGTACAGTATATTTTTACATGTGTGTAATTGTATTTTTAGAGTATTATGGTATCTTATATTTGATTTTTTTTTTTTTTTTTTTTATAAAAAAATAGAGAATAGAGCTTGTAAACGATATTTTAGATATTAAAAAAAAAATGAATGTCATGCCTAGGGTGTGTTTGTTTGCGTTTGTGTGGTTTGATATTTTGTGAAATAATGTGATTTAATGTTGTAAAATAATGAGCTTGTTCACTTTTTTATGGATGTATTTTTTATTAGGTATAATATAAAAAAATATTTTGTGTTAAATCATTAATTTTTTGTGAGTAAATAAAAAATATATTATATATTGTGTTAATATATATTTTCTTGTATTTTTTAATAATATTATGTAATGTTCTACACCCAAGAAAAACTGAGCAAACAAATTAAATGTTTTATTCATTTTTCCATTTTGGTCCGTCTCATAACAAAGTATTTATTTCTTTTTTTTTTTTTTAGTAATTGTACTATCTACCTAACATTACAAGTACCCTTCCAATTTACAATATATTACACAAATGTCATTACATTTATATCATATAATACTAATATGATTAATTTAGTCTTTTTACCTTTATTTCTACTTTATCCCAATATAATACTAATATTTCTAAAACTATATGTAAAAAACAATTGGATATTGTTGA